TCTCCCTTTTCGTTCGCGCCAGCAGCACGTTCCGAACGCGGTGGAAAGCCTGGCGGGTCTCCAAAGACCAAGGGATGTTTCTAGGCCCTCCTTGCGCGAGCTTTACCGAAGACAAATTATGACCGCATCCCCGTTGGAAGGCTTTGGCGAGGAGTTCTACGTATGACGTGGGGGGGGGGGGGGGGAGGAGGGTGACTAGACAAAGCTTCTTGCATATCCTCTACGCCAAACACATGATGGGGAAGCCGTTGGTTGGAAAGGGAGACAAGGGAAGATTTAGGGGGGGGAGAAAGCGAAGCAAGTCAAAGCAGGGATCATATTGCCATGCGTACCGGCACTTGTTGCAGTCATGTTCGTCCAAGATAAGTCAAGCGTCTTCAACTTGCAAGCACCGCCCATGTCTTCCAATGCGGTTACCAGACATCGCACTCCTTCCTCCCTCACGCCCGGATTTAGGGCCAGAGAGAGCGTCTCGAGCTCAGGAAAGCGTCCATTCCTTAAGCTACCCCCTAGACAGGCGACTCCTTGAGCGGTAATATCGCAATCGTCCATGTGTAAGTGTTCTAAGAAGCAAGGTAGCGATGTTTCCCTGCCGTCAAAGGCTTGGATGAGCTCCCGCAAACCGATATCAGCGCCTAGGACAAGAGAGGGTTGGATGAAGCTGGCGTCAGGATGTGAAAGAAAAGGAGGTCGACTGAAATACACGCCAAGATGACCAGTGTTAGGCTATATCGTGCAGAAGAAATGTAAAAGAGAACAATGTTGGCACAAGCAAGGAGATGACATGGAACCGGACAACGAGAAGTTCCCCCCTGCCTGCATCCTTTCTACCCGTGATTTTCCACGCCGAGACCTACATCTGGAACCGTTCAAATTCAAGCTTTGTAAGCCGCCAAGACGACCGTCTTGCACACATGTGGCCAGGATTCTTGCGCCTGTTGGACCCAGCAAGGCATTACCCTCCAGAGAGAGGACTTTAAGAGCATTCCCATTGCCCACAAGAGACGAGTGGGAAGGAAGACGAGGAGGCGTGTCCATGCGCAGGGCACATAAGAGGCTCGATAAACTTTGAGACGTCAGTCCCATGTGTGCGAGACGCAGGTGCTGAAGATACGGTAGAACATCGCCCCGCAGGGCTTGTGCGAGGGACAAAAGAAAAGTTCCGCTTAAATTGCCGTTGAAGAGGTCGAGTTTCTGCACGGAAAGGAAAACACCATCTTGAAAGGCGGATATAATGCCACGGAGGCCGTCCTTTGGCCTATAATTCCCAGATTTTTCCCCGACATGGTCCTGATTTCCAGAGCTTAATGAAAAACGGAGAGTTTGTAGAGGCACATGCGGGATGGACGAGGGTATAGCTGGGAGAGCGACCCGCCGGCAAGCATTCACGAGCGCGTCGACTTCGTTGGGCAGGAGGGAGACGTCCGTTAGATCGAGCTCCTCCAACGTGGGAGCTAAGGAAAGGAAAAGGTGGTATAAAGGATGCTCGTGAAGGCGAGGCTGATAGGGCTTTTGATAGTAGGCAGTGGTGATTGATGAGGGAGGGATGGCAAGGGACGAGAGACGAGCATGCGACGCTAGACGGTCCCATATCCAGGTGCCCATCACAAGCTTCTTCAAGCCAACACACATTGTCCCATTCGTGTGATTGCCCCCCTGGTATCTCGTTCGTCTGTTTCCGAAAGCCCTTGCCAGAGCTACCAGGGCTCGTCCCGACGGGGTGAATCCATTTGCGCCCAAATTAAGCGATTGAAGACACGGTAATGCACCCTGGCCTAAGGCAAGGTCAGCAAAAGCTATAACACCTGGATCGCCGAAGCGGTTTCCTGCTAGGGTGAGATACTCAAGGAAAGGGAGGAGAGAAGGAAGGCAGCGGCTGGAGAGGATGGAGGAGGAAGTGGACCAAGAGGAAGTTCCTTGAGTGCTATTTCCGTCATGGAGAAGCCCATCATATCGTCCAAGAAGAATAGAAAAGTCTGTAAGCTCCTTGTCTTGAATATTTGCATACGCGAGACTCAAATGCGTCAAATTAGATAGAAGACCCTGCCCTGCGGCGACAAGTGTAGGGGCAAACACCCTGAGATCAGCGACTCGAAGAGACCTTAGCCCTTTCTGGTAACGAGAAATGAGGGCAAGCAGGGGATGTGCCGTCTCGATCTCGCTTGTTGGATCATGGATTTCCCACTGCCCTGTAGCGATCGTGTGTGAATCCATATCACGTCCACATCCCTCAATTTTCTCGACATCTCTCACTTTGCTTGTGTTCTTACACCACTGATAGGAATGAGAACTGGTGCATCCATCTCGGGGATGACGGACAGCGATTCCTTGAACTGCATCAGAGCAAGCCATAGCCGCGAGATGCCGTTTGGAAACTTGCAGGAAGATGTTCACCTCCACAAGGCTGAGAAAGTATGTGAGTCGGGGAAGAAGGAAAGGCATTAAAGCAGTTGCGGTCGTACGTGTATTTTTGGAATTTATATTTTGGCGACGAGTTGGGGGAAGCTTTAGCTCCGAAGCGGGCCTTGTCGAGCCCATCGGTGTAGTATTAAAGGCGGGGCCGTGCTGCTCCCAATCGACGCCGAAGGAGAATGCTTTAAATGGAATAGAACTTGATGACAAATGCGATGCATTTGAACCTGGGAATGAGTGCATCGTGTCTGTCTTGTTCAAGGCGTTGGGTGATGAGGATAAAGGTGAGGATAAAGGTGTCCAAGGCATGCTCGTCGTACTGATAGCCCCACTGCTGATCGACATCGTTGCAGGAGTCGCGGTACGGTTCCTACTTTCATTAATCATGCAAATAGGTTGAAGAATCTCCGTTCTTGATGAGAGCCTGGAAAGATTTGCAGAATGCTTCGCCCAATCATATCCGTCCGGGAAAGGGGTAGAATTGTTGCCTCCCAGTGTCATAGCGCCCTGAGCGCCCGATTTGTGATAAATGTTTATCGTTTCTCAGGCCAGATTGAAAGGTCAAGCATTTTCGAGATTTAATCTACGATAATTTAATCCATAATATCCTTCGCATGATAAAAACCAAATGGTATTTAATGAGAAACTGCGGTCCAGGGACTCCTCGCTAACTTTTTTTGGCGAGGGACGACAACAGATCCAGAGATGAAATACTTGTGTATCCATACGCTACCATTCAAAACTATAGAGTCACCTGCTGCAGGATTTAATGTGTTCTAAAATGTTTGTCTTTCGTGTCTTGAAATACCATACGGAAAATTTGCAAAGATCTGGAAAGGAGACTGCCTTTTCGCATCTTCGGTAAGCACTGGTTCTTGAATTTTGAAATTCCGTTTATTCCTAATTCAAAGTATCACCACAAGGATTCCTGTTTTCAGAACAGTCAAATCACCGCAGAGGACCAGATTCTAAGTGACTTGTATGTTTTGTCTTATATTGATGATTTCATGTTCCATCATTGCACATCTTTTGTGTTCAAAACCCTCGCAGAATATTTTCCTGGTCATGCAGAAAAGTCTTGAAAGAATGCATGGCTACGAGAAAAACGCAATCGATCGTCCATATCTTTCGATAGGTACCTCTTTTTGAAGCAATTATATTCTCACAGTCCATGAGGTCACACAAATTCGTTATTTAAAGTGACTTCTTTCTCTGGCGCAGACCAGCTACCATCAGGTCCGGTATCACTTAAGAACGGGATCCCATTTGAAATCAAGCAGGACGACTGAATTATATTGAACGAAAAATATGTCCCTCTGTTTGACGCTAGGGCTCATACTGTTCTGGCAGTAAATGCTCCTTCTATTCGTCAATTTTTTGGTTGGTGGACGCATCCTGTGTGCTGCGATTTCATGTTCACTTATACGGCATTTTGCGGAAGATAGTTCCGTGCTCGCAGGCTAGCGGTAATTTATAGGACATGCAAAGGTTAAGAAATGTATCTAGTAATCGAGTTTGCAGTTGATTATACATGACAAAATTGTAGAATCAGAGAGCTCAAAGACTGCGTAAATGAGGAAAATAACGGAAGGCTTTCGCTCACGGATCAAATAAATGATAAAGAAAAAATTTAATCCAAGACTGATAATCCTGACGCATTATTTCCTAGATCCACGCACGATATTCATAACGTAGATTAGCATCAACAGAATGTAGATTGAATCTAACCCACCAAATTACAAATTAAAAATTAAAAATTATTATTTCACGCACGAGAGGGTCACAAAATCATATTTCGTTGTCAGGCATGCACATGTCATGAAGGACCCGCCGATAGGCATACGTCCTTCGATTGATAGATGCTTTGGGGTTTGATTGTAAAGTCGAAGGCATCGCTTTCCGAACTGGCAAACGCTCTCGTATTTTAATAGATGGGCGCGTCGCATGCTCTCTTTGCCGTGATACATGCTTTCGTGCATCTCCCTCCAAACCCACACTGCCAGTCTCCACACCTCCTAAAATTTTCACTCTCTGCCCCTCCATACCTGGTTCTGACGCGACCATATCAAATCCACATTCGTGTCCCGTGCTTAGCATGGCTCCATTTCCATTTTCCTCATCCAGTTCTCTTCCCTTGAGTCTATGCGTCATGCTTTCCCCCCTCTCAACACTTCCGTCCTTCCCATCTTGACCTCTCCTCTTCTTTTCTATCGCCATGGGCGATCCATTCGCATGGCACATCGTATAGACGGCAAACAGGTTCGGCTGCCCCTCCTTCGGTTCCACCTCAACTTTCCTCAAAACTGTAAGATCTTCCGCCGCTGCTGCTCGCAAGACACGGGCCTCGACGCCCGGTAGATCCGAGGCACACATGACAAATATCCCTCTGCCGCTCAAAGCGACCGCGGCCGTCTGGATGTACGCTTCGACACCGCCTCGCAGTTCGAAGTTGCATGGTCGTTGGTCTTCCGCGGCAGGCAACAAGGAGGGACGGAGGCGGGCTTTTCCACTCTTGGTTTTGAGGACGGTTGAGGTCGTGGAAGGAGAAGACTGGAGGGCCAGGGAGGACGTGGAGGAGGTACAGGAAGAAAGCGAGGTGACAGAAATAGGTGGATCTGCGGGGTGGGAGGGAGCAGGGGCACCATGGCCGTCGAAGTAGGGTGGGGTGCCTGTGATGAGATGAAAAGTGCGGGCCTCGAAAGCCCTCGGTTCAGGAGAAGAGAGAGACGAGGACGAGGATACAAGAGGAGAAAGAGGTGGAGGGGGCGCAGGGAGGGATGTTCGGATTTTGGCAGCAGCGCTGCCTGACGACGACAAAGGGAAGAAATTTCGAAAATCTCCATGGCGGACACACGCGCGATCGGCACAGCCGTTGACCAGTAATGAGCGGCGCGCACGCTCCACCGAGCTTGCTTGTGCCTCAATCCCGACTGCGTGAAGGCGAGGGAGCTGCCAGCACACCATCATCAGGACGCTGCCCAACCCACAGCCCAAGTCCAATCCCCGAAGGCCCTCGCCCTGCTCCTGGGCCCCCCGAACGACTTCCTCTCTTCTACCATCTGCTTGCTTCTCTCCTCCACCACGGATCAGCAAAAGGCCCGCGCATTCTCCATCAGCCTTGTCTGATTCGACGCCTCGCAACAGTTCACGTCCCCAGCCTCGTCTCATCTCTTCACCCGCGATCCAGGCGGTAACTACATCGTCCGTGGAGTACCGATGACCTCCCACGGGCTGAAAGATCCGCCAATCTCCTGAGAGACAGCATAGAGCTTCTCCTGCTTGAGGCTGCGGGCTTGTCATAGACGAAGGACGTAAGGGGCCGCGTAATTTGAAGTCAGGTGGACGGCGAGGGATCGTGACGACACCGGTCTTATCCATCCCCCGCCGCTTTTTAGTCGAGACGATTTCTCCTCGACCCTGACAAACATGACACGTTCGAGTGATTTGGGCTGTGTGGTTGCCTTTAGTTACCAGGGCTTCGTCCGCAGCCAGTTGTAACTTTGGTAGGGGCGTCAACGACTGAGGAGTGTCGTTGGGACTGTCCTGAGCACAATGAGATCGTTTGACCTTTCGCTTAATTTGCACGCGACCCGTCCCCGCACATTTGAAACATGATATGGAATGCATTGTTTATAGGATAGTCGGCTTGAGATTTCGATCCAAGGCAGTACTCGTTCAGTCTGGGCATCCTCAGGCTAAGACCGAGCGCCAGGAGGTTCAGACATGGCTCCTCAACTGACACCGCAAAATCAAGCTAATCTGTGGCAACAAATGAACCAGTGAGATTGAGATACGAGAATTTGACTTGGTGGACTCCTGGGCGCTCTGCTAGCGTGTTTGCCTTTTGAGCGGCGAGGCGCTCCTTTGTGAGAGGACCGGGCTTGTCTCCTATCCGTGTGGGTCCGGACTTTTTCTAAAACATTATGGGATTTTCTATTTTTTATTTTCTTCTCCTTCCAGTTCAGAGAAACTTTGATTGAAACAACATTTGGCTTTTAACCTCACGTATTTGTGCTTGGATAAAGGAATATGAAGATATGAAAAAAAAATCGAGTCGCGAGTCGAGAATTGAAATGAGATGTTGCCATCAAGACACCATTTATGTTCTAACTGTGAAAGTATGAAAAGTTTCCAAGACGGGTCAAGGAACATAGTAGGCCGTGACTCCCATAATTCTAAGGTGACACTCACCCCCTTTCCCGCTCTCGCAATAACTTTCGAGCTAAGAAAGAAAACACTCCCTTCACACACTCCATTCCCTATGAAAACCCACGCTCCTAGACAGACCAAGGTCCCAACACTCCTGTCTGAAGATAGGCATCAGCCCACAGTAAAGTTCATACAAGGCAATCACGAGCACGACCTCTTTTTATATCAATAAATCATCATACTTCCAAGTAACTTTTTTTAACATTTAAAATACCGGCATGATCACGATACGAGGCGTACACCCCAAAAATTATGTTTGAAATATACATGAGAGGCGGTCCTCAGTAATGTTTTTTCATTAAGACCAACCTTTACCTATCTCCTCTCCATTGGGAGTCTCCGAAGCTGGTATAACAGTAAGGCTGTTGCTCGACGTCCGACCCCGCGGGCGGGGATAGAGACCTTCTAACGACCACCCACGACGCCGCTGGCTTCCATGACATCCGTTTCCTCCTCCTTTGTCCATTGTTTCCTTAAATATAACATCTTCCTCTCCATCGTGACGGAGCAGCTCATCCTCGTCCATTGAGCCCCCGTTCTCTCCGCCTGAATCGGATTGAAACGTCACCAGAGACATGGTCCGGCTCCGACGCTCTTGCGACGACCGCCTTGCTGAAGGCCACCATCTATTAACAAAAGAGGTCGTCCATATCGAGTCTCTCTCACCCCACATCCACCGAAATCCTCTCTGTGGCACGCTCGTTAAAGCCGACACCGCGCGGCGAGCAGCTCTCGAATCAAGGACAGCAAAGCTAACCTCCTCATCACCAGATTCCTCTTCCAAATGTTGTGTGCCCCGACTGTCATGCCTATTGAGTAAATTGAACCAAAATCGAGAGGCTTCCCCCTCCTCTTCCTCCCCCTCCTCTTCCTCCTCCTCCTCCTCCTCCTCCTCCTCTCTTTCCACCCCTTCTTCTTCCCTCCCTTCGACGCTTCTTACCCGTCTTTCCTCGAGAAAAATGAATTCCACCACCTCAAAAATGAGACCCCAACACTGCCATCCCACAATCCCCAACAAGATCGCAAGGAACGGCGCCAATTTCGCCCAGACGAACGGCCCATATGCATGCCGTTCTCCATGCCAGGACCCTCCTGCGCAACCTTCCCGAGGGCAGGCAAAGCCAAGCCTTTGGTTTGCAACGTCAAAGAGCGTGTAATAGGCCTCGAGCCAGATCTCGCCCAGGACCCAAAAGGGATTGTCAGCGACGTCTTGTAGGAGCAGGATACAGATGCTGAGGGAACACGAGACATAGTCTTCCGCGCGGAGGGGCAGGGAGGGTCCATCTTGGAAGCGAACGACCAAATCCGGAAAATCGGAGACGGAAACGCCGTAGCAAGTCGGAAGCCACCCAGACGAGGGAGTTTTCGTGGAGCTATACGTACTGGACACCGTGCAGTGAAGGCCCTGCGTGATGAGAGAAATTAGGCGGGGATATTCCGTCGATGGAGGAATGAAGAGGGAGGCGCCTGTGTCCACAATGGCGATGCCGTGACCCCATCCCGCTTCATTTGTACCGCCTCCATTCAGCTCCTTCTTTTCTTCAAGTCGCAAAATTTCACCTCGGCCCGGCTGCTGGTGGTTGCGTGCACGGACCTCCACGCCATTCACGCCGACGGACCACCTGCCTGGTCTCATTATGCTTATCGACTCCTCTTCTTCCCCGTTCCATCCCCAGCTTTTCCCTGCACGCCCTCCTTCGTCCAGAATTAGTGGAGCGAAGTGCCAGGAAGCGTTTTGCCCTACCTTGTCTAGGTCGTAGCCTCCCAAGCGTAGCTCCGAGCTTGATTCTTCGACCAATCCCCGGTCGTCTGCTGCCAAGAAGACAGAGAAATGGAAAGGCAGATCGGGATGCTGCTCCCGCAACGCCTCCAGCACCGTCGGCTTGCTAATCTCCCCCGCTTTACCGAGGCCCAGGCCAACCACACCATCCCAGGACGCTAATGTAAGCTCTCCATCTTCATAGATTGCCTGACCAAATTTTATGCCCTCAACGGCAACATCTCCAATTCTTAATGTATCCTCGCCCTTCTTTCCCGCAACAATTCCATCGGCATACATCGCCTCGAACAACCGAGGCAGGACTCCATCGTCGTCCTCCATATCGTCATCCTTTTCCAATACGTCCCGGTAAGTACGAGAAGCCCCAGGATGAAATCCCCGCCGGCCCGGACCGCACGACGGACAATTCGCTGCGGGCACCCAAACATCCGTTGATCCTGTATCAAATAGGACGCGAAAGTATTGAGCCGGTGTGCCAAGACCTACCATCCCAACGTATTGCGCGTCAGAGATACTTTGTAGCTTGATTCCCCCCGGGCCCGAGGCCAGCCGCCTGAAGTCGTCAGAGGAACGTTCCTCTTCTTCCTTTACTGGCATTGGGCTCTCCGAGCTCTGCATCCTTGTTAGTGCCCGTCCTTGGGAGGAAGGTACACTCATACTTTCTTCATCAAGGGACGCAGCGATCATTAGACCCGGTACTAAAGGTTTGAGGGCATGCCGAATTATAGTGCTGAAGGTACGATGGTTCTCCTTGCTTTGTACAAGGGGGATTCCTATTCCGCCTTTCGAACTTGCAGCTTTGATAATCAAGCTCTCTTTCTTTGGTTTTGAAGAAGCAAAGGCATTGGAAATAGAGAACTTGAGGACGTCGTCTTGGCCCTCCATGTGGTACGATATGAGACAGACGATGTAGAATAATGGAGCAATGAAGCATAATGCTACTGAGGTGAAAACTGCAGACCGTCTCCGTCGATGTGGGGTATCAGGTATAAAGTGCGGTGGAGGCCGCATGGAATCCCCCTAGACGTCGCCGTGGGTGGGCTGTCCTGCGGTACGATAGTATGAAAAGAATGGTGGTGGTGTTAAAGATGGAACAAATTTCTTGATGTCAGCACTAAATGATTGATCATATGCAGACATAAGGGGTATGGCTACGATCGAAATCAGCATTCAAAAATTAATATCTCATTTTTCCCATCTGTAAGTCAGAAATCAATCAAATGTTGGTGATCGATGATATTGCTCATTGTTTCACTCCGGATTTCCGTTTTTTTTTGGTGAGTTAAATTCAAATTTGAGAAACGGCTGAGTAATAAATGAATGCCGGGAGGTCTTGCTTCTCCGATTCCCGTAGACAAAGGCACAGGCAGATAACCTCGCATCTCACCAATTTTTGGGTACTTTATTTCATCTCGTGCTTGCTGTCTAGTTGGAAGGTACAGGAAGGCTCTGACCGGTCCTCTACAAGTGCCAGCAGAGCAGCTGACGGACGAATGGCTGCTTTCGAACATCTTGAGGATTGAACGGGTCCATCAAATCGCTGCGGTCAAAAGAGTTTTCAGTAAGCTGTCCGGATAAGCCCTCGCTACTACAATCCAGACCCTCTGTCGTCGCGAGAAGAGCGGCAAGAGGCTCTTCGAGACCGGGGCAAGGAGTCACCTTGCGAATTCAATACGGAGTTGGGCTGCCCGAGGAATCGGGAGAAGTAACCCAGGTGACAAGATATTGAAGGGTAAGATCGCAAGGTTTCGATCTTGCAACTATTCAGCCTCTAGAGGCGTCTAAGTGCAATTTGGACAGAAGAAGTCTCCGGACCGAAGCCCACTCCCAGGAATCGAAGATTTGGGCATGCTTAAGGCATGCCATGACCAGAATAAAAAGAATTTTCACTAGATCGGCTATGAAATCAATATTTTAGTGCAGCTATAACTTCTTTCATGAACGTAAGATTTTTTTGGGTGAGCACCCTAAGAAGGAGCGACCGAACAGATTAGACTTCAATTGGGGGCATAGGGAGCGAAGGGCGGCTTACTCCCAGCGAAGGGGGAACTGTTAAAAATATTCTGTCGGCTAAAAGAGAGAGATTGATTTTCCTCGATATGTATAGATGAAGGCTCGGTTAGGCAGGTGCCCTGGGCAGGCGCCCAAGGTACGCCTTTACATCCATCTATCGAGGACATCATCAGTCTCTCTATTTAAACAGGAAGGACATTTTTAACAGGTCCCCACTCGCTTACCGTAAGCCACCCTCGGCTAACAGCCCCTTGGCCGAGACTTAAGAATGTCGATTCGTTCG